GGTTCAAGAGGAACCTCGTGAATGTTAATAAGGGGAGATGCAAAGTCCCGAAGAAGACTGTGAAGAAGAATAAACTCAGGCACCATATACACTAGGGGTCAACCTGCTGGAAAGCAGCTCTGCAGAGAAGGCCCTTGGGGTCCTGGTGGACAACAAGCTGACCACAAACCAACAGTGCACCTTCAGAGAAACAAAGGCCAACACCATCCTGGGCTATGAAGAGCAATGCCTACAGGTCAAAGGAAGTGATCCTTCTCCTCTCTTCAGCACTGGTGTGGCCATAATTTGGAGCACTGCATGACCAGGTCTGGGCTCCCAAGTACAAGAGAGACATGGACTTAATGGAATGAGTCCAGCACAAAGACGATTAAGGGACTGAAGCATCTCTCGTATGAGGAGAGGCTGAAAAAGAGGAAAAAGGAGGGAAAAGCTCAGGTTCATCAATGGGCATAATGCGTTGGGGGGGTATAGTTCAGTGGCAGAGCATCATCCATACTCATCATGAGGGAAGTTGTACTAGAACTTTAAAGGTCTCTTCCAACCCAAACTATTCTATAATTCTATAAATACTTGATGCAAGGGAACAAGGTTGAGGGAGCCAGACTTTGCAGTATTGGCCAGCACCAGGTCAAGTTGCAATGGGCACAAAGAAAAACACAGGAGAGTTCATCTGAATACAAGACGACACTTTTTTACTGTGCGAGTGGTCAAATACTGGCACAGGTTGCCCAGAGAGGCTCTGGAATATCCACCTGTGGCGATATTAAAAATCTTATGACCACAGTTCTGGACAACTGTTTCTAGCTTACACTGCTTGAGCATGGGGGTTAGTCTAAATGATCTCAAGAGTTCCCTTTCAAATGACATGATTCTGTGATTTTCTTGACATACATGAAGAGTAGAAACAGTTTTTCCCAAGTGCAAGGCAATGGTCCTAGTACCAGGGGATCGGTTGTCAGAATAGAGACTTTCCAACCTGCCTATCTGACATAGGCACATGAATGAATAAGTGAAGTTGATGAGTCAAGGATATCCTAAAAGCAGAAAAGGGTGTTTTCAGATAAACCCCTGGGCTATTGTCCCTGCTTATATTAAAAGGAGATTGGTAAGGACATGCTTTGAAGAGTTCTATTACTGAGTGGATAATTATGTAAGTTGCATACTGTACTACTGCAATTTTAATAGGGAACACACTGTCAACACCATCTTTATAGGCAGCAGACTACAATCCCCAGATAAGATAAAATCTGCTTTTTTCACCAAGTTTCTGCAGGCACTGTGGAGCAAGCTGACTTGGAAACTGCTGCCTAGTGCCTAGAGGAAGATAATTCTTACAGCTTGCTTCACAGGCCTGGTTGGAAGTCAGCTGAAACTTGGGAGGAACCAGAAGCAGATGACTTGCTGATTTGTGTTACCTTGTCTCTTTGCTTTGTGCTTTTGCCTTGTTAGCAAGGTAGCAGGTTTTAAAATCATACCTAACTTATTTTCCAAGACCTTGAGAAACTATGACTTTGATACTGTGGGTTTTGGCATGGCTGAAAAAAAAACAGGAAAGTGCTTGATATTTCAATTCCAAAATGTTATCTCTGCATAATCTAGAGTATGAATTTATAAAAGGCCGGCTGTTACATGTTATGCAACTCTAACCCAATATTTAATTGCATTTAAGGAATTTTGCACTCAGTAAGGGGATATAAACTGAGAATTACCCATACAGACAGGCTTTACAGCAGAACAGCCCATACCCTACATTATCACTTATAATTTAATTAAAACACTTATAATTGCTGCTAGAATATTGCAGTACTTGTCAGATCATTCATCATCTGCTGTTTTATCAGCAATGATATAAAAATTAGCCAACAACCATCATTACTTGTGTATATTTAGGAGGAGGTTAATTTCAACCAATCAAAAGGGATTTCATAATTAAAACATTTAAAGATGTGAAGGAATCCTGACACTTCAAAAATTCTAAAATTATGTGCATGAGAAAGGTAAGAGATTGTACATACAAATGATGAGGTATTCTCTTTATACATAAAAATAGAGCTGAAAAGCTCTAATGGATTAGGAAAGCTGTAGATTTCTCTCCCATTTGCTTTGTTTGCAGATTTTACAGTGCCTTGATGTTACAGCAACAAACCAGGATGACTGTGTTTAGCCCATTTACCTTCTCTTGCAAGGACAAATCCACGTTAAGCATCTCTACATAAGGAAGAACAGCACAAAAGACCACTGCAGCAAAGTATCAACATAAGGGTTGGATGATTTAATACAAACTGTGTTGTCTGGCAGGAACTTGCAGTATCTGGAGCAACACTTTCTAGTTTTGGCATGGCAGGGAATATACTGCCCTGTTCTCAAAAACTCATATAACTTTATTATGAAATGCCAATATCAGAATAAGCTGCCAACCACATTTTAAAACCACAGTATTTACAAAGTGATGTAAGATGAATTCCACTTCGATTTCAGATTCACAATATACAAGAAGGTTTCTTATATTGTCTACTTTTAAGGCAACAAAATATTTTTAGGTTATGATAGTTCTCTACATACACAACATGTCCTAAAGAAACAGTAAGAAACTTAACATATGCTCCGAGCTCTGCAAAATGCTACTCCCTGCTCTGTAATATGCTACCTACTAAGAAATAGGCTTTAAAATACCTGGTGATAGAGAGAGGGTGACAAGAAACATAGAATAAGAGACAGAATTTCTTCATAGTTACTTTCATTAGAAAACGTGCAAAGACATGAACAAAGTAATATTGATTGCAGTATCAATAATTCACTAGTATCACAATATATCACAATATGACTAATAGGTTGCCCAGAGAAGCTGTGGATGCCCCATCCTTGTGGGTGTTCAAGGCCAGGTTGGATGGGGCTTTGAGCAACCTGCTTTAGTGGGGGGTGTCCCTGCCCATGGCAGAGGGATTAGAAATAGATGATATCTAAGGTCCCTTCAAACTCAAACCCTTCATGATTCTATGATTGTAATTCTCCCATGATTTTTACTCTCAAGATCTTTCATATTTTGCCACCCCATCCCAAAGGAGATGGTAGTAAAAAAAACCATGAAGAGGAAATCAACATCTCCTAAGCCCACATGGGTGGGGTGCTAAGGGGGCATAGAAGCACAAGCCAAACAGTAGCAGCTCAACAAGTTTTAAAATATTCTAGCTATATTTAAATAATGTGACAACTGCTTAATTTTGCAAGCATCAATACAGGCCAACCCTGACTGGAAGGCAAAGACATTCTATGTTTGTAATATTTACCGGAGTATGAGCTTAGTAAGCAGACCCAGATCTGAACAAATTTCACTGCTGAGAAGTCAGCAGGTACCACATTTAAACAGGGCATGCAAATGAAAGCTATTATTATTCTTTGCTAATTGTTGAGTTTCCAAGTGACCTCAGTATTTTACTGTAAAAGACAGGAATAATGAATTATCTCAGGCTGAAATGTAAAATAAATGGGAGTATATCAGAGTATATTATAATTCATAGTTCCCAAACTACACTGTAACTCCTGATTTTTCAGTCATCCTTTCCTCTTTAGAGTTTTATAAAGCCTCTTCAGAAACAGTTTTGTGATTGTGTTTATTCTGCCTGTTGAAGAAACTGTCCAGTCATTAACAGCTCGGTTTGTTGAGGTAACACTGACAACATGACATTTGATATTAGACAAAAATTGTAAATTTGATGTTAGAAAGTTTTGCCAGGTAAAATATATCAGTGCTATACTACTGAAATAATCTGTAAATAGTCCTTAAAACTGATATTAAAAAGTTATGGCAGTGCTATGCTGGCCACAGTGTTCTAAGTGTCTTCTCTAATAAGCAAGGAAATTCATAGTTTAATTTAATAGTGTAGCATGCCCTGAGGAGAGAAAAAGTATTTTCAACAAAGAGAAAACATCTGCAAAGACGCTTATTTATAGAGCCATGTGATAAACAGACTCATGTGCTCATTAAGTTAAAAAAAAAATAACATTCTTTTCTGATGAATTAACAAAGCTACCATGTATCGTAACTTAATAAATCTGAGTTTCAAGATTTCTCACTTCAAGATTTCTCATGTATTTCTTTGGCTTTCCTTGTATCAACCTTCTCAGTACTGTAACGTAATTCACTATTCTGGTTTGAAAAGCAGTCAGACATGTTTTTAATTTCCACCACAAGCAAACTAAGCTTTGTTAACAAATGGACTTTCTTCTGTATAGCACTTTTAAATCAAAGATTGCAAAGGTTAGCATGAGGAGAATCTGCAGAGCCAGAGAACTGAAAAAAACCAAAATGACTATTTTTTATTTTATTTTATTATGCAAGCATCACGGCTGAGATCCAGTTCTCCTACTCTGAAAGCTATTCTGAGTCAACAACACAGTAGACATTTTGGAGAAGTTACAACAAATGAAAAATATGAATTCTTATTACTCCATCTTATACCTTACAAAAAGGTTCTGTTTCAAGAAAATTTTCACCAAAAGTTATTCAGAAAATACTTGCAAAACCAGAATAACTAAGAAAATATGCTTTTTCCTTTGACTTTTTTGGACACCAAATATGCTGTCAGAAGGCAACTGGCTAAGCAACAACTAGCAGGGTCATACATGTTTGCAGATATAATGTTTAGAATTGTAGGCAGGAAAAAATAGAAGAATTCAATAAAAATAAGGTAGATAATTCTCAGTCTGAAGAACAGGAAAAAGTTTCTCACATGTTTGGACTTCTGCTAAGGGACAGTTTGTCAAGGAATACAATTGCAACTCTCATCCTGGGGCATTTAAAGTTCAAAAGCTGAATTACTCACAGTAAAGCACAGGCAGGGAGAGGGACTGCAAGGCCCAAAGACCCATCTTGTCTTCAATGACTTTACAGCAATGTTACTGGATGTGAGCTCCAGCTCATCTCCCAGGTTTAATGAAGAATCAGAATCAACTGTTACAGAATCACTAGTTTTTTAGACACATTCCCCCTCCAGACATACCATAGCTTTGGTGAATGCAGATCACTCAACAGGAAAGTCAGGCAAGTTTTGTGGGACAAGTGTTATCTTCTACAAGACAACCTGACGTAGCTGGAAAAAAAAGAAAACAACCAAGTTTAGGGCACACCATTATTTCTTCTGGTTTGAAAGGGCAAATAAAGGTTTGAACAAATGGATCCAAGTTTATTTTACCTATTTTTTAAAACTGCACAATTTCGAAGAAAAATGTGATTCCTCCGTGGCAAGGGAGAGCCAATGAGGTAATTAATATGGCAAAGAACAACACAGAGAAACAGAACTACTACTGGTAATATTAGAGGTTCTTGTGAAAGACAAAGAAAGAAATTACGTGGAAATTATTACAGATGTTAAAAAAAATTAAACACAAATAACCATCATGGAATTCAAATGTCATGAGACACAAAATTGATTACCGTTTCCAAGAAAATATCAAGAGAAATAATTTTTTTGGTAATTCCATTCCAGATGAAAGAGTGATTTATTAACACTGAAGAATTGTACAATAACTGAGCCCTGAAACCACTCGGTAAATCATTTAACAGAGTTTGGCAAATAGTATCAGGAAATGCTTAAAAAATGTCTCTCCCCTTCAAGACACAAATCACTGCATTATGAGTCTGAGATACTAAAAAATTCTTTGTGTTAGCATTATTTATTATAAATAATAAATATGAACTATTCCAAATTTTATTTAATTTCAAGTTACTAAAACTTTTTCTACATTTTAAATTTATATCTTTTAATCTTGTTGTTTTATTTATTTTTCCCAGAGTTAAACAGTTGATCACATACCAACTACAGGAGCTGACATGGAAATGTAAGGTACAGCAGGAAGTGACATAAGTAATTCCTTAGGTAATCTCTGATCCTCTATCAGGGTCAAAGCATGAAATTTCTAATAAAACACTATTTCAGAAACTAACATTTTTCAGATGAGACTAAGATTCTTGTCCTAACAGCTTCAGTAAATTTTAAGAAGTTATTGGAAGAGATACCCATTCTAATGTCAAGATGTGAATCTCATGTAAAGGTGCATTTTTTGTCTCTCAGATCTTTGCACTGCAGTATCAACTAGGTATTATGCATTAATTCATGTCCTAACAAGTCATGTTGCTGACATAAAGCAGTTTGTTCCACCCCAAAGGGGGGGTTAGGGGGGGTAAAAAACCTCAAGTGCATAATAAATTATTTAATAAATATATCTTGAGATGAAAGGTATATACAGAATGCAAGATAAAGACACATCTTAAAGGAAAAATGGCTTACAATACGTACTGTTACAAGTATAATCAAAGCCCAGCTAGGCCTTCAAAGACTGAAGTCATACAAACACAACCTCAGAAAGTCCTTCAGCACTACTCCTGAAAGCTGTGTAATGGAGGTATGCTCCATGGTAAATCTTTATTGCTCTGTAATAGCAGTATTTTTCAATGTTGTACTTAGCAGTGGTAACACCATTCAATAAAATCATTTAGTACTAAACAGGACTGTGTGAGAAACACCAAATAGCACCATGACCAGGAAGGACACCTGTCAAACATGTCATACTGTTTCCCTTATATATTCATCTTATAATGCGAATTCTGATTATATTTATATTCTGTTGCTGTAAATTAGTTTCCTCTAATCAATATGAAAAGTTGAAGTTTTTCTATTACTTTTCGCTTTCCACAGAGCTTTGCTCAGACAGCCACTGGTCCATTACTGATATTATTCCACCAAAAGCACGTTATCATTGAATAAACATGAGCTGCCAGAAATTATGGATTTGCACAGAGGCATTGGGAAATCTGTGAGTAGGCTTTATTATATGTAAGACAGACTGCACAAAGGATCACTACTCAATGAGCCAAAACTTAAGATCTTAAGAGTTGCTTAAGAATACTTTTTGAGAATACAGATCTCTAGGCTTTGCTAATATGAAAACCTTATTTGAAGTATAGTTTAGCTATGATGACTTTATTATGAAAAAATGTTTGATTTATAAAGATTAGATATTGATTAAAAAGAGTTCTTTCTACAAGTATCAAATACATATTTGTATTACTTAAATAGACTGTAAACCAACAATGTAACTTTTCTTACTAAAACCAGGTTAGAGGTACTGTAAGGGTCCTGCAAGACACTCGAGAATACCTCAACATCTTAATTCTTCTTTTTATTCTTTTCCAATTCTTCACTGACACGCTCTTGCACAACAGCCTCCTATTTGCCTTTTTTTTTCTTTGTTATACATTTTCAGCTTGTACATTTCTCTGTAACTGAGTCAACTGGTTGCTAACACGTACTTAATTAATAATGTGAGAATGATGGATGCAGTTGCATTTTACAAGTTCCTGGAAAGCTGTGGAGTTTTGATGACCTAACATTCATCACAGACCTACACTTCTTTTGGCATTAGTTTTCTAACCAGAACTTGTTGGATAGGATTCCAACAAGCAGAGTGAACTCACATTGCAAACATCACCCTGAAATTCGTGCTTGGTAGTTAGCATGTCGTATGTGTGGAATAGACAGTATTTGTGTGGTGAAAACAGTTTACTCATTTGGCACAAAAAGAGATGATAATGCCATTCATCAGAAAAACATACAGATGGCAGTTGGATTGTTCATATTCTATATTCTCTCTCTCAAGTAAAGTTGTCTTGTTTGCTTTTCATGATGATTCATCTGATGCTGCCTGGTGGGCAACTACAGTGCTAAAAGCCCTGTAGGCACAGAGAACACAGCCTGGCAGGCATTCCAGGACTTCTCTTATGTCCAAATTCACACTTTCAGTAAAAGCTAACACATTTCCAAATGCATTCTTGTCTATTCTGACTGCCTTTCCTGAGATGTCTGTGACATCTTTAATCCTGTTGTCATCTGGAAACATTTTACGCTTCTGTTCAAACATCAGTTCATAAATCTCATAAATCTCTTTTGAAAGAAGGATCATTCTGAAGACATTTCTTGAATTTACTGTATCTGTTCTATTGCTTGGTGTATGTTCAGTATGAGATCAGGAAAATCTGGAAGACTGACTGATTGACAGACTGACAAATTCTACCTAATTAGTACTCACCAGATTTAGCCCATCATCTTCAGCACTACAAGCAATATTCAACCAATGCAAGATCTTCCTTTTCTAATTCTAACTACCTGAAGATCTGCAAGAGTCAAAAAGAATTATTCAATGGTATTATGTCTCTCAATAAGTTTAAAGCTAAATCAAAGTGAAGTGAAAAAGGGATAGGATATAAACTACTCAAAAACTAAGCGTGATATAAAAAAAGAGTGGATGTACAAGAAAAACAACATTATGGAGCACAATTTGCATTCTGAACACTATCTTGGAAAAAAAACAAAACTGTGAATGATTATTACACTCTAAAAACATCTGCCAAACAATACAAACAAATTACTTATTTAAGATAGGTTCACTTCAGAAGCAGTTTATCACCACCTGCAGTACTAGACTAAATAGGAGTAAATTTTTTTTAAAAAACCCACACTTAAAAAGACTTTCTCCCAGTTAGTTCCAACTAGGGTTTTATTTTTTCATTAAACCAAAACAATAAAAAAATTGTTTTAATACACTGCCATATAACAAATAGGTAATGTACCTACCAACCACACCCACCACCACACAGACTATATTGTTCCAATATCAGACATACAAAAACATATTTGCTGTGGTTAAGCCAGAAATCAAGCCACAAAATGGCTTGTCCCATACAGCACAGGAGATCTACAAGAAAGGCAGGAATAAAATTCAATTCTTGCAAAAGACCCCATTATAACCACATCATCCCCTTTAGGAACTGCTGTAGTAAAAAAACTTAATACAGACTCTTTTTTTTCTTTTCAAAAAAAAAGCTCTAACGTAGGAGCAAACACTTCTGAGTTTTTTAAATGCTTTCAGCTTTATGCTTGCCTAAATGTGAACAGAAGTTGCCCTATAAGTTTTAGAAATACTTGGCTAGACACCAAACACTGCACTTATGTAAGACCATATAATCACCTGACACTTGTAGCTGCCTCGCTGATTTTCCAAGAATTTTAATCCTCTTTTCCTGACACTATCCCTTTAGTGAGAAAATATGTTTATTCTATTACTTATATGCTTGCTTTGCAGACAAACAGTTTCATTTATCAAACAGGAGAATAATATTTTCCATTCTCAAACATCAGAAATCAAGAGACTTCTTTATACAGCAAAGTACCAAGTGTGGCTTGTCATATACAAGGGCCATTCCTCAACTGTGCACTCCTAGGCTGCTTTTACACATTTAAAAGCCTTTCTACGGAATAATGAAGCTTCTCAGCTCTTCCCTTCTGCCAAGCAGCCTGACCATTCATGCCAGGAAGTAATGCACATGGCTGGTGCACTGCAATTAGGACACTGCAAAGAGCAGACCAGAGACAGCTGCTTGATATTTGGAGGCAGAAGTAACTTGAACTTTTATTATCAGAGATTTTGGTTTTATAGAATGTTTAAATATATAACTAACCTACTCACTTTGCTTTAATTTGATTTTTATGTTAGATAAAATCCTTAGCCCCATGAAGTCAATGGAAATTTCAACTTCAGACTTTGCAACTATGTGACTATACAACTGGAGCCGTTAATTAAAAATTATTCTGGTGTCTGTTTTTCACATTTGTAATTTACACTTACATCCTTTTTAATAATTAAATGTCTTAAACTGACAAAAAAATGTATCAAGAAGTGTATAAACCATGAATTGCAGGAAATTGGAACAATACTCCAGGGAATTACTACTTCAAAAAGGATTATGGCATGCTTTTCTTACAACAATGGAATAACAGATTGGTTTAGACTGGAAGGGACTGCTGGAGGCCTTTGGTCCACTCTCTGATCGAGGAGAGTTACCTACAGCAGATTGTTCAGGCCATATTGGCTCAGGTTTTTAATATTTCCAAGGATGAAGACTCAACAAGCCGTCTGGACAACCTGTTCCAGAGTTTGACCACCCTCAAAGTAAAAAATATTTTCCTTATTTTTTATTTCAGTTTGTGCTCATTGCTTCTTGTTCTGTAACTTCTTTTCAGTGGTGTCACCTTGTACTTGTACATATATTGGCAGAATATTTGGAAATCTCCACTGGTGCAAAACCATCAGCATAACTCCACTTCAGCTGTACAAAAGATCACTCAAAACATAATTCACTGTCAATAACTAGTTTGTCAAGGCAAATTTAAATTCCCACCATACTCCTACATAAGCACTTCCTACTATTACTCCTGCAAGCAGTTTTTCCCTAAAAAAACATCTCATAACACTTCTACACTATCTGAGGTTCCAGAAACCAGAAAGGGCTTGTCATACAAAAGGGGTGGAGGGTGGGTGATGAAATAAACTGTGCCTAGAAAGTCAGAGAAAATTCTTAGAAAAGTTTTACTTTTGTAGCAGCATGATCCATAAAGTAGGAGGAAAAGGAGGACAGCATGAAATCAGTGGCTGGGAAGAGCTACTGAAAACTTTCGAGCAACTACTATTCTATGCTTTCCAACACTTTTCTCCCTTAACATTAGCAAAGCAGCAAGAGGAAGGTACTACAGGCTGTACACGGTGCTGCAGCTCTTGCACAGATGGAACAAAGCGACTGCTCCCAGCAGTCACTGGCATGTGCCTCCTTTGCCTGTGTCCAAACACAGACTTCTGTGGAAATTTCTCTAGTGAAAAACCAGCTGGTAGTTTATGGTTACACCAGGCCTTTCAGTGTCCTAGCAATTGTGCAGATACAACAGCTGAGGTAAGACGAGAGCAAAAGGCACAGAATAGTGCATAGGGAGTTAATTGCCACTTTGTTCCATTCTGCTCTGACACAACACAACTAGAAGCCACCAAAGGATGTGTTAAGGAAGCTTTCCTGTCTGACCATCCAGAAGCCACTCTGGCAGTCACACGTGCAACAGCAGAGCTGGGATCGAGGTGTCTTCACAGCTACACACCCCACATTCACAGTCAGACCAAGTTTCCTTACCAGCTCGACTCCAGGTTTTCCCATAGCAGAATCTCAGGCCTCTGGGGATCCCTAAAATATTTTAATCATGGTGCAACAACAGAATAACAACTCGAGCCGGTGCCTCCAAGGAGGGCTCCAAACAAAAGAAACCCTGGGCTTTTATACCCTCCCAGTCTAAATGCGATATAGTCTGGGGTCTTCCAGCTGTGCCTGCAGCTCTTGCTGTGCCTCCAAGAGTCTGGTCACCTGGCTAGGCCACAGGTCCTCATGCTCTTTGTTATGCAAAGGGTCAGCAGTTCAGGGCCTCTTACCTCGGGCTCCCCCCACCCAGAGCTCAACCTGCAGCTCCCACTGCAGCTGCTCATCAAGCTACTGGCACTGAGTGCATTCCTCAACAGATGGAGTACGTAAGGACAAAAGTCAGTTGCTTAAAGCAAGTTACAGCTGCAGGAATACTTCTCTGTGTGAGCATAAGGGAGTCCATATTCTTGCCTAACACCCACAGCCTCTAATACAGTTGAAGCTTTGGTGACCCAGAACTCAGCTGCCTTCCATGGGGATTATGCAGATCAAATATGGAAACTGTCCCATGGTACTTGCAAAATTCAAACTCTGATGACAAATAAAAGAAATTAAAGTTGCAGTTATTTAGTAAAATTCCTGCCTAATTGAAACAGTTATAGGGTGAAAACAGCAAAAAAATTATTCTGTTGCTTCCTGTTACTAAAAAATTGTTTATTCTTTTTGCTGTGTTCAATAACTACACTGTTCTGCTGAAAACTGAATCGCCTTGATACCATATGCAGTTTTTTAAGCTTCATGGCCAAACTTACCATACTAAATAACTATTTGAAAAGTTGGCAACAATCTCTATTTTTGTCTGTAACTTCACTTAGTGCAGTTCTTTTGCATTCAAACATGTTGCTTCTGCGATGCACTAGGTATGACAAGGAGTGATTAGAAAATTGTTTATAACATAAGACCATTAGTTTTGTGCAAATAGAGCTGACTTCAGTTTCTTGCTTGAAAGATTTTTTTTACAAAAAATGCAGTTGTTAACTGCCAATTTTCTAGTGGGAAAACTAAACATAATTTCAAACTATGATATTTTGTTTTCTCCATCTCGTACAAAACATTATTCCCAACTAGTTTAGTAAACACGAAATAAAGCATGTTTCTAAATAAATATGAATAATTCCAATTTTAGGGATGTGTGTTTGCGTGTCTGTCTGTATCTTGACTGAGTGGTCAAAAATAAAAAAAAATAACTTTTTTTCTATCTGGAATGAAAGAAAAACAGAAATTGGATGCTGCCTTAGAAAAAGAACTTCCTCATCTCATTCAGCACTACCTAACACCTTCCATGAAAACAATGGAATTTTTAATAAGCATCATGAATTTGCTTCACAATTAATTTTTAATTCATCTTGAGCATCTTCACACTTTTTTTGTAGGGTCTGATCCTAACTCCAAGAGCCAAGGACTGGAACTACAAGGCTGTCTCCACTGCAGGAGAAATAGCAGCATCTTCTCAAAGGAGTATGTACATTTTGATAGGGCAGTGCTAGTAGTTTGCAATATGGATTAAAGCAGGACTACAGACAAGCACAGATAATCATAATGACACTAACACTGATTGCTTTGGAGGAAGTTCACACACTCCATAAACAGTTCAAAAATTTCTTTTCTATAACCTCTAATATGCAGTAGTGACCCTGACCAGAAGACCACTGTACACCAAGAAGCCAGTGACCCACACAGCAGTTAAGCAGAGTAAGTCCAGCAGCACCGTGCTGCACACCCAGTTTGGTCTTCAGACTTCCATTGTGCAGCACCTTCCCCTTGGCTGCAGGATAAACTCAACCAGCACACTGCAACCAACAGCTCCTACTTGGTACCAGTGATCCCACCACCTGCATGTCCTTCCCCTTATCTGAAAGTGCAAGCAGTTTCTGTTTCCCTTCTGTCAGACAATACAAATTATGAAGCAATGAATCAAGCTGTTTACTTGTAAGACGAGCCTATAATAGCTCAAATAACTAAAAGGGGGCAAGCCTTTGAAAATAGGACCTGCACAGCACACTTCTCACCAATCACAGGGAAGATAATTCACTGACATTTCTGGAAGGCAGAAAAGCACACTGTACCACTTTTACAGACAGAAGTACAAACAGGGGTAAAAGCAGTCTTTTTTTTTTTTAATTTAAGGCAGTTATTACTCTCTTCATTTAAAACTCTTCTTGATTTTGTTTCAGAAAACACTAAGCCTTAGAGAAGCTAATGCAAATGTTTTTAAAAAGGTTATAAATACATTGTTCTGAGGTATAATACACATATTTTCATGTATATATTTTATTTCAATAGGATAATCATATGAGAATTGTAGGAATGAGGTAAGCAGTGGAAACAATAGTGGAATCTAAGGTAAAACCCAGTATTCCAAAATCCAAAATTAAAAAAAAAAAATCAAGTGACTCAAATATCTAAGACAATGACATCGTACAAGTCCTTACTTAAAAGCAACAATCAATCATTCTATAGGCATTGTTATTTCTTATATAAATCACATTAAAATTATAATTTTAAAGCAAGATTTCTTAATATAGTCATTCTGGGGAGAAGCTGTTATTTGCAGTAAGAATTGATAAAGGCATTATGCTTTCTATTGAGATCTACAGAAAGGAGACCATCATTGCAAAATGAAGCAGTACCAAGACTGAAGACTTGTTTCAGATTTACTGGTGCATATTATCATTCATATACTTCTGTTTAGGGCAGGAAAGGAAGAGGTTCCTTCCAGTTAACATTGCCCTCCCAAAAAAGTCGTGGACACAGGGAAATCTAAACTATAGTACAATCTGTACACAACCTATATTTTGCTTTAGGTGACAGCAGAGAGTAGAAAGCAGCCACATCCATGACTTTCCATCTTTACACCATCTGTAAAGAGGCGATTTCAGTGAGAAGAGACAGCTCAGTCCCACTAGTGTAACTACAACCAGAGATATGCAGGATGACTTTGGAAATGTACATTACCTACCTTCCCTTTTGCTTCCTCCTTCCTAATAATTACTTATTCTACCTAAAACTCCCCTCTACAAATACCTGGTATTTCTCTTACAATGTAAGTCTTTTTTAATGAGAAAGACACCTGGATAAATGAGACTATAGGCTGACGCCTTCTTTGGTCCTCATTCTTGACAGGCAGACTCTGCTATGCTATAATCTATCAGCATATAGCTTATTCAGAAACCTTTCATTCTGATGTATTATTGTTTATTTAACCATAACAGTTTACTTAGCTACTATGTCTAAGATATGACTCAGCACTACAATCATTATAACCTTCTTTTAAGCTTGGAATCAATTACTGACCAAACTATTTTGTTAATGATGTTGCAGAACTCAAAAATTCTGAGAGACTGTTACCCACAGGCATTAGTCCTGTAACCACTAGAGTTTTCCACTAATCATTTTTACTAAGGTCATCCAGGTACCAAGAAAAAGAACCTCTGAGGGGTTTGGTTTTTTTTTTAATAAATAACAGTATCATTTAGGTTCGGATAGACCTCCGAGATCATAGAGTCCAACCTCTGACTAATAACCACCTTGTCAACTAGACCATAGCACAAAGTGCCACATACAGTTGTTTCTTGAACACTCCCAGGGATGGTGACTCCACCTCCCTGAGTAGCCCATTCCAATTCTTAAAAACCCAAAAGTTTAAAAAGAATAAAGAAAAACATGTCGCACCTTCTATTTCTACAATTAATAATAAATATTTACGTCTAGTCTACATAGTTAACTTTTGGCTTAGATCTACGGCCAGGAATTAAGGTGTTAAAGCAGTACCAGCAGAAGGATGAAATATTACAGGAGCCATGAAACTTGACAGAGTGAGCAATACATCAAATCTCCACGGTTGAGAGCCCCAGGACACAAACCAAGCACTTTGTAAGATGAAGGCTCTGCGGTGTGTCACAAAGAAAAACGATGGCAACAGCTGGTTGGGTTTTCAGCTCTTCAGTGAAGGGTAAGTATGAACTGAGTGTAAGGTGGGGCTCTCAGGTGGTCTACCAATACCAGCATAGCAAAATGCAAATGTGAAACAGATCCAGCATGTCAGCAAATCCCTGAAAAACAGCAGGATAAGCTGTTCACTTGAAATATCATGATATTTTTTTATCAGAGGTAGAAATATGAACATAATAAAATATGTGAGTTTAAAAATACTCTCATATGCATGGGCTTATCACAGTCTTTCAGCTCTTGTGAAACCCTTCCTGGAAAATCAGGAGTTAAGGGATACAAATCATTAAAAAAGATCCCTAAAATGTAACGCTTATATATAGTATGACAAGGACAGAACATGTAAGAGACACGGAGTCCATTTGGGATGGGCTACTTACCACAGAGCCATCTGTGAGAAAGTGTGATCAGCCAAGACTCAATACGACTGAAACTTAGTACCACTGCATGGACAAATTACGTCCAATATATGTTGGAGGAAAAAACCTCCAACTTGTATTGCTTTTTCAGGAACGAAAAAGAAATTAAGTGTTCTTTTGTCCCTGCATAGAATATTTGTGGTCAACAGCCAAAGATCAGGTACTCAATTATCTTCTTGTATAAATATGGTGAAGGAGAAAGATAGGTGGGAGAAAGACTGAAACACAATGTTCTTTATACAATCATGCTGAAAGGAAGAATTTGAGTGTTCATTTCTCTCTTGTATGATGTTGTGTTCCACTGAAAAAAAATAATGGTCTCCCAGTTCAACCCTGTCATCTGGTGTCTTTGGCAAAAGTGAAATAAAGGTGTATATTTCCTGCAGCATGCATGTAGAAAAGGCTGAAGAGATGTGGTTGTGATATCCTAGCCTATAGTGCACAGTGTGCTGCTGGGTGATGCTACCAATGCCCAAGCAGCAAACAGGACATAAGTAACAGTAAATAGGTACAAGCCAAAGTAGAAAGGGGATACTGAATAGTCAGAATAAGTTATTGCCAATTAGGTGATTTAACTAGATGTCTTCTGCCACCTTGACTAAATTTAAAGTAATCACTTTTTGTCCAGCTCAGATGTTGTGCACATAACACTACATTTAGTAAAGAGTACTATTCATAGTATTGGGGAAAAAAAATAATGTATTGCCTATTCTCATTGACATGAAATTTTGCCAAGTGCTCTGAAACCTCTGAAGAAAGGACACCCATTAGATAAGAAAACACCCATTAGATAAGGAAAAAGTGGATATACATGCAAACTCTATGGAACTCTATGGATAAGAAATATCTACGACAAGGAGTAGTTGCTCCTCTGATCCCAAAGACCTAGTCTAAGAAAAATAAGTAAACCCGAGTTTTGTAACTTTAACAACTCCTTTTGAATTTTAAAAGACTGATAACAATTTTATCATTATCTAGAAACTCAGTGATCTATCTAGTACTAACAACACCCTATTCCAGCCTGAAGTCCAGTCCAGTAGTAACAAATAAGGGGCTTTCCCTTTCACTTACCACTGTAAGTAGGCTGCCAAGTATTTTCTGATTTCTATATGCACTCCTTAAAATGTATTTAACTGACTGAAACTCTGAATTTAATTCTACATTTATTATTGACCACCCAGAAATGAGAGGGTTTTTTCAAGAGGCTAGATATTAGCATAATAAGTTTTTTTCATTCCTTCTCCCTTGGTTTAAGATTTGGTTTTACAACACAGGCATACTTTTAATGCAAATATGATGTAATGACTTTAATTCTTCTCTTTTTTTACTTGTATAAGAAAAAAGAATAATAATTATTATAAATTAAAAGAGACTGCTTCTATTTGGCAAACTATATTCTATACCAAATATATCTCAATCTAATTTATCTCAGAGGATGATCATAAATAGATGCAAACATCCAACTTGATAGGAAGGGATATATTAGAGAGCATATATATTCTCTCAGGGAATATATTAGAAAATATTAGAGAATATATAAACAGATACCAACATAAATTGTTCTTTAAATATCAAATTAGAACACAGAACACATACTCCAATTATTACCTTTTCTTTTGCTATACATTATTTTTAAAACAATCAGTTTGTACTTTTTCTTTAATGTTACTACATTAACACACAGAAAAAAAAGGTAGTATATGTAACATAACTGTTAGCCAACAGCTTTCAGCTGAAGGAAAACATCCTGATAAGCTGACTTATTTGCTTTTTGCACACTTTCTTAGTGAGCAATTTTTATTAAAAAAAATCTTCTTTAATTGAAGACCTTTTAGTACTTCCTTCACTATTATTCTGGTTTTTGTTCGTTATTCAGTTACAGTCCTGCACCAATAGTTCCTGCACTTTATCTCTTTAAATTTAGTACTTCACACCATAAGTGCAATGCTATTTGAATAACTTCAATTAATATTAATAGGAGCACATATTCCACCGAATATTTAGCTATTTTATAAATCTGGATATTACATGCAACTCTCTCACCAGGCAACACTGGCTGAAGAAAAGAGTCCAATCAGTCCAAAGTTTCTCTTCTTAAAAAAGACAGGCAAATATGACTTATATCTGGAGCTAAATTACTTTTTTAAACTGGAAAAAAATTAAAACAAAACCTTCTTATCACATTTTTAAGTTTGATGCCCTGCACATGTAGAAACATTCAGCTATATTTTGGAATGCACAACCACATATCATCACATGTGGGAAAAAGAAAAATACAATGAACATGAATAAAGGGAAATGAGTGACTTCACTCATTGGTGTTTCCAGGACAGTCAGTGCATTTCCACAATTTCAAAGTATAATTGACAGACTTACCAAACCCCAGGAAGGCAGCAGCATTATTGCCACTCCGTAGAAACTCAATTCAGATCATAACACAGACAACACCATGTGCTTAAAATTCACAGTCTAGAGTCCTCTTAACTGTAGAATCCAATTACCATTCTGTTAAAAAAAAAAAAAAGAAGAAGAAGAAAGCATCAGAGCTTGTGGTATTCTGTTAAATCACAGCCAGGATAACAGAAGGAAGTGAGAAAACAAACGCCTCCCATACAGCAAACTATTGTTGCTGTGTATCCCCATTAAACAAAAAAGATTCAAATCAACATATGGCAGAAAAGTGAGTCTACCCAGCAAGAGACAGGGCTATTGGAAAAAAACACGATTCTGCTAAAGCTGCAACACTGTGAAGCAAAGAATTCTGTCCTTTGTAGGAATAGAAATGATGTGTGAGAATTAGCCCAAGGAACTGGGCATTTAGCAAGGAGTGACAGATCCTCATCTCTAATTCACACTCCCAAGACTATTTAAACTCCTGCAGTCACTCTTTAAGATACACTACTTAGAGGAAGGTGACGAGTTTGAACACTGTTAGACAGAAACAAACTGAATCTTCTAACTCTCATATCAGTAATCTAACAGATAGGTTGTTAAATAAAAGGTTATTCAATCTCTCCATTCTTCATGTTAAAAGCAAGCAGCTACAGCAAACTGAGAATCTCTGAATATGAGAGTGCCTGTTGAGGCCTGAGAACACTGACAAAAGAGTGTCCTTGGACATTTCAGCTGAGGACTGAGGCTGAATGGGAAATAGGTGCTGAACTGCTCTAGCTGCTGCACACTGAATGTGCACACAAGTAAAATCCAAGACACTCTAAAGATACAATTAGAACTAAGTGAGAGCCTTGTGATTCAAGGCACTTCTGTGTTAGGCAGCAGCTGTGTGAGCTGTCATCACATTTTTTAACTTAGGCACCTGAATTCTTCCTAAATCCTTCTTTAGGTATTTAAGTCCTTTATAGGATCAAGCCAATAAACTCTCTCTCTGTCTTTACCTGCTTAAGTACTTTAGATCCTATTATGTTTTGCCTCCCTTTTTATTTTAATAAGATCTTTATTTTTTTATCATGCAGTTAACTATTTATCCTATGTATGGTCATTTTTTCTTATACTCACTAATGCATACATAATTACTAAGTGTAATTAAATAACTTACTATGGGCCTTTCTCCAAAAGTACTGAGAAACCATCACTCCAATTTTCCCAAAGGGAATTAGGATCCCTTGGAAAATCCACACTGCAGTGTTGTACAGAAATGATACAGTGGTAGCAGTCTATCTTTGTTCAGCTCACTTGAACTAACTTTTGAGACCAAGCTACAAATGCAGCTTTGTGGCCTTTCATACCTTAAAAAAAATTACTCAAAGCCAACTTCTGCCCAACACTGTGTTGCACAAACAAGGATTAGTGTTTGTTTTACTGCAGTGATGTTGGGCATTTTTCCATTTAAAAATCTGTCAGCTGGAACTATCTCACTAAAGCCCTAAAAGTCTACTAAGCAACAGAGAACAAACTGAAACAAAACAAAACCAAGTTGGTTCTGAGCATTATTTCGTAGGCAAGGCTGAAGTGACTCAAACATCAAACATGAATTTTAATGATTTTTAGCTATTTTAGGACAATATAAATATGATAAAGCTGAGGCAAAATATTTTTATTCATAGATATTCACAGATGAAAAACAAAAAAGGTTTTTCTAACTAGATCTGTTTTTAAAAGTTGGAGATTACTGTAGGCTTTCAAGAAAAACTTGATTTTCTCTAATAATGCATATATATCATTGTTAATTTTGCATATCATGATTTATGTAAGGAGGGTTGGAAGCCAGAGCTGGTTTGGGCTGCTGATTTAATAGGAATTTGGAAGTTTTGCGACTCCAACTACAGAAAAATGGCAGGAAGCTAGGCTATTGCTATGGAGCCAGGAGGTGACCTTTGACAAGAGATGGATTTCTCAAACTCAGTTTCTTGTTCCACAAAAGGGGTTTTACCAAATGAGAGTCGTGTGGGGACTACTCCCGTGGTGGAGCTATTCTGGAACACACAGAAATCAGCCATGCTATCTTCCTGTCTATTTGCAAAACACTTCTCATAAAAACCTATTCATGTTTTGTCACATTATCTGAACAAATACTATCCTACAAAGTATTGCCTTCCTGATCAATGGGTGGGGCTAACTTTTTTTTTTTTTTTAAATTTGAAAAAGTGTTGTGCTGGAAAATTTCAACTAGCTGTAACAGAAACTGCAAATTCATTTCACATGTGCTACCTCAGAGTCACCAACTAGCATGCTAGATAAGTAAAAATTTATATTGTGAAGAAATCCGAGGCCATTCTCTAGCACTTAACACATGGAAGGCATGAATACCCATAAACCATTTGCAGGTTATTATGTTCATTTTCATTCTGAAACAATTACAAAAAATATTATTACAGTGATGTTAAATGTGTCAGAGAAGCATTTCACATAGCTATTTTCATGGGACTGTTTATTTTGGTGTTTTGCTGTTTTCTTGTGTATGGATTTTTTTAAAAAAAAAACAATAAAATGGCATTTAGCAAAAATTTTATGAGTAGTAATAAGCTGATGTCCCATGAGAGGATTCAACTTAAACTCAACCAGTCTTTCCCATTTAAAGCCATCACGAAAGGTTTAAGCATGACCTGTTCTGTGCTTCACTGCATCCACTTAAAGTAAAACATGCTCAATTCAGCTAAAGGACTGAGAATGCCATTTAGCAGTGAAAAGTAAAAAAATAGTGGTTTAAATAGTCATAATCTTGGGGAAGTCCCTAGCCCCATACACAGGACTCTGAGCAACCCCTCTTGCAGAGATGCTAGCATTGCTTTCAGAGGACAGGGCAGTAGCTGTAAGCACTTCCTCTGTTGAATGCCAGCAGAGAAGGCTCAAGGTGGCTAAATCTGGATTTTGCTGCTTTCTCTCCCTATCCCATTTTTGCAACCACATAAGTAGTGGCTAACATGCATCTCTACTATACATGAAATTAGTATGGATATTTTGCTGCACTGACAACAGCTGCCTTCCCTGTCAATCCTTCTGGTGTGTCAGGTATCCTACCGTGGGCACGGGGTTAGGTAGATGCCTTATTCCTGTTGTCTTTCAATGAGAGAGATTCCCCCTCCTTCCCTCACACTTCTCCTAAAGTCTTCTTCTCAAAGTGAGTTTGTACTTTTTCTCAGGGCCTCGGAGACCTTGCAATAGTTCCTTTATTACCTTGCTGAAACCTTCACTGTATAATAACAACTAAGTGGTGGACTGAATATTTGAAAAGTTTAGATAGCAGTTTGTCAACTGTTTTTCTCTTTACTAACTTGTTTCCTACTGATTTCTTCTGTGCTTCAGACTGAATCCAGCCCCCTGCCGCAACAGCCTAGCGTGTCAGGTAATCCCTGTCCTGGCATTAACAAGCACTGTTTCACAGTGTGCAAATCCTCCCACTGCTTCTCAGAAACCATCTCATAATCTCACTTCAGATTCTCAGAAGCATTTTCTTAATCTTTAGTCTAAATTTCTTCTGGTCATTAACTTTTTTCTCATGTTTCACTTCTTATCTGTCCTTATAGATCACTTACAAAGAGCAACCATGTTCCCTCTCCATCCTCATTTTGGTAAGACAGTGGGGCAGCAAGCAAGTATTTCTCCAATTCTTGTTGTACAGTAAATCTTGTGTTCCCAATTATAATTTTTTTGTTTCTGTTACAGTTTGTTTACAAATAACCTGACCAGAATCATGTATTGTGTGCTTACTGACAGTTCACCAGTCACGTATAGCAAAATGAAGAATTCCTTATCTCAGCAGTAAAAAAAAAAAAAAAAAAAATGTGTAGTATTGTATCAGTATTGTATTGTAAAGAGCTATTTTTATAGCTCTTTCTCATCTTCTATCATTTCCCATTAATAAACTCAGGATCCAGCAAAAATTTTTCTCAATAGATGTACATGCTTTGGCACTTGCACAACTACACTTTTTTCATTTCTATTATCCCAGTAATTGAGCAGGTCTGTTTCTTCCTGTCTGACATTTTTCTCTTCAGTTTATTGACAGCACTTTCTTACTTGCTGCCAAACCAAATGATCAATTTCCTACCTTTTGTGCAAGGTCACTGATGAAAATATCAACTAAAATTAGGACCATGGCTGATCCTCAAAAAATGCATATGAAGTGTGCTTCCAGACACAGGAACCTCTTCCTATCGCATGATCCATTTCCATATGCCTCTTAATAGCATCTTTCAGATCTGACAACTTTTTAGCAACTCCATCTTAACTGTTTCGTTAAAAAATTTCCATGTGGCTCATTGTATTAAATACTTAAGTCCAAAGAGACAAAAGCCTGAGCACTGCCTGTCTGCAGAATATAATTTCTGTTACAAGAACAAATGCAGACTGAGTTAGGTTAGCTTAGTCTACATTCGGTAAATTCACGTTTTATTTTATCCTATAATCCATTTAGCTTCATGTCTTTCATTAATTTTTCACTTGAAAATGTGTTCTACGTCCCTAACATACTATTGAGATCGGCTTAATTGGTCTGTACTTGGTGAATTCCATTTTCTTCCTTCTTGCAAGCAATACTGTGATTGCTGACCTATAGTCAGTTGTCACAGATTTTTGAAAATCTGATGGTCACGGCTGTCAATTGTGTCACATTTGGAAACCTCCCCTAGCTGAGATTTTCTTGTATCTTTGAACAAAATCTTTGTTCTTTTTCCAAACTTTCACACCCTTCATACATTTTACCTTTAACTCCAGAGGTCCCTCTTTGTCCTTTGTGTTTTTAAAACAAAGTATTGTGATCATAATCATCAAAGTTAGAGAAATCTCATTCAGATAAATCTCAAAATAAGTAGTTCCTGGATGGAGGAAAAAAACATCAGTCCATAACACTGGTATGTTAAGACTGAAAACAGTTGTTTTTGGAGATGAGCTGAGACTTCCCAGTACCACAGGCAAATTAGCATTCTGCTAACCGGGAAGGAGGGCTGGGGACCAGTATCTGCTATACAAATGGGAGGAGAAACAGAAAAGGGCAGTTTTGACACCACTCAGCTATGTCTCCTGCGCAGCTCAAATGACCCTCAAGA